CATCCATCCATCCATCCATCCATCCATCCATCCATCCATCCATCCATCCATCCATCCATCCATCCATCCATCCATCCATCCATCCACATCAGAGACTCCTTACTTCTCCATTTGTGTACCAGATGATTTCCTCACTGTCGATGTAGTAGTGGACTTTTGGGTAAAATTTATAAAATCCAATCTGTTGTGCATCACCAACATGGTTCCAGAACACGACAAAGTAAAGTCCGAACTTGAGATCGCCATTTTTATCAAACTGAATAGTCCGGTTTAGCAGTGTAAAATTGGACTTCTGTAGCTCTGCTAGAACCTGAATTGGATAAACAAAGTTTAGATAAAGGTTTGTCAGAATACATTTTTTTTTTCTCCACTACCTTTCAGAGTATTGAAAAGCTTAATTTGCTCAGCTCTCATGAAATCTTGAGCTTGGACTTGGCCTTTACAACACTCTCCCAGCAGCTTGGAGATTTAGCTCTGGGATTGTTGGCATGTTTGAGCCCAGAGACGTTTAGCCTGAGAAATAATCAATCCTGAAAGTGCAGCAAGTTCAGAACTTGCTTTTGCATTACATATTTTCTGAATAGGCTGTGTATAAATTATTATCAAACCATCAATCAAATAATACTTACAGAGTCAGTGAAACATGTCTTGCTTGCTGTTATGAGAGTGTATCTAAGCAGTGCAATGGTTGACCAAAGGTATTATTGTTCCTTAATTTGATTTAAAGCTATTCAGATGTTTCTCATATGAAATGAATATGGACCTGTAACTGATAGCAGTGAAATAACTCAAAATGGTCCAAGCCCATTCCCTGGTCCCCTAAATGCATAATCTCCCAGGTACAATATAAAAGCACCGAAAAACTGTCTAAACTTTTACTTTCTGGATAAACTGAAATTTCCTAGTAGGTGATCTTTTCACAAAGTTTTTTCTTTTTTTTTTTATAGCTTTCTTACAATAGCTACATGTAAAAGATGTTTCCATCTGCAAAAAGCCCTGGTAAAGCCCTTTGATGTCTATATCAATACCATATATGTTTGAACAACTAGTAATAAAAATAATAATAAAAAATAAAAAAATAAAACTTGCTTATTGTTCATTTTCCTAGATAAACCATAATAAATGACAGTTTATGATTGCAACATAACATAAATAACTAAATGATACACTTACCATATTTGGATATACTGTAATGTTATTGCATCCACTTTCTCCACACTGTAAGCTGTGGTGCAAAGCATGAGCGATTGCATATACAGCTGAATAAACAGGGAAGGAGAAGGACGGGTCGGCCTCGAGAACATCCTTTGCCCTCCAGTCAGTACAGTTGCAAACCTGATTACAAAGCATCTGCTGTCCATTGTGGCCACACTCACTTTGTCTCTCAATAGAATGGATGAAATCAACAAAACCAGGAATAGTTAATAGCGGCTGAGCCACACCAAGTATGGTTCCAATATTTCTGATGTCTTTCATTTTAAGCAGCCGTTTGTTCAAAGACCATGCATCATTTGCAATCCAAACCTTGTTTGTGATGTTGGATTTTATAGCTGATTTAATCAGAGCTTCAGCAGCCATTTCCGCAGTAAAAACAATGATAACATGAATGCGCTGCATTTCAATTTGTTGAAAAACTCTAGAAAAATTCTCGCCAGTCATGAGCGCTCTTGTGTATGCAATGCAGATGTCTGTGTCCGTAATCTGATTTCTAAATATGTTTAGGCCATCATAACCAAAATCATCAGCATTGTAAAGGAAAGCAACCCAGTGCCATTTGAAGTGCTTCAAAATGGTAACAATCACCTCAATAACATCACTGTTGGGATGGACTGTTCGTAGGAATGATGGGAATTTAGCTTTTTTTGAAAAAACAGAGGATGAGGATCCATAATTAACCTGTCAAAGAAGAGCAGCAGAAAAAATTCATCCTTATTAGTTAAAGATAAAAAAAGAAAAGAACAGTAACCTTTTTATGATGCCTCATTGCTATTTCTTCATCAGAAATGCTATTTGAAATGCTTATTTGGTATAGAGTAGTAGTGATTTAATAAATACGTACCATAGGAATGAGATCCACCATGAAAAATGGAGCTACAGTCAAGGCCTGAGTGCTTGTGAAAGGTCCGACCACGGCTATGACTTTTGAGAGTGTTCTGTATGGTTCAGCCCAAGGCTGGATCTGACCATTGACTGAGAGGAGTTTTAAAATCCCTGGGAAACTACGCGTATCTGAGCAGTGATCAAACATCTCGTAACCCAGAGTTACATTTGGAAGCAGGCTCGTTGAGTTGTTGATTTCCTCTACAGCAAATCTCATCAGCTGAAACCTCCGATAGTTTGAGATACTAAAACGTTGGCTGAGGAAAAGGAAACAAAAAGTCAGATCATTTATATATAGATTGCCAAGAGTAATAAAGCCAGGGGTAAGATTTGGGTGGTAAACAATTTGTGCTTACTCAAGTTATCTTTGTCTGATATAACATGTATTATCCTGATCTGTCACTGTTAAATCACTTTAACAGTTATCAATAATCCAGGCCCACAAAGTACAAAGCCTGTACAGAGATTAGTTCCAATCATTTGGATTTCCAGCATCCACTGGGGAGTGTGGATGAGCATACAGTATTGCAGCCATATGCAGTGAAATAACATTAATAATTGAAGTATTAAAGGGCTCCTGGACCAAATAATACTCAAATACTATTTAGTAAGAACAAAGATAACCCAGATGAATGAAAAAATATCACAAGTGTGAGTTATTTTTACTGTTTCCAAGATGAGTTACTGCAGCCATAAACTGATGTCAAACTGTAGTGACAACATATAGGCTAATAAACTACCAAAGGGTCTTTAAGAACATTTCGTACAAAAGTATTCTAAACTGAACGGCAACAGGTCCACTAAAAATGATAATTGACAAATGACAGGTTATGGGGTTAGTGTAAAGGACCTAATTAAAAAAGGGTTACTTTCTTGATATTTTTTTCCTCTATTTCTTTATTTAGTACAAAGTATACTGGTAGGTGTTTAGATTACAAGACATAACTTAAGGTTTCTGGTTTTTATTTGTTTTATTTCATTAGAAAACAAACACAATGGTTAAATTTAGACAGATTTAAATATTATACTGCATGAACACATGGATGAATTAATTTCTAAATTCTGAATGTTTTTGTTGTTTGCTTAAGGGGGAAATCTTTAAGGTGAGCGTGTTGGACCTGGGGTTTGCCAGGTTGGGAAGGTGACCCTGAAGCATTTTTTGCTGTGTTGTTGGTTCTGAAGTGAGCAGAGTTTTATACACCTGAAGACAGAGAATTTGCTCACAGTGATTTCTTTTTTATCTCGTGAAGTCGGCCCCGATAACCAGTTAGAAAAGCATTTTATACATCTCTAGTGTGCCACATCCTCATATCATGACATCATACAGGTTTGCAGAGGAGGAGTCATCCATGGCTCCAGCCTTATCAAAATATTACACTTTGTTCTTAGCCGAAGGACACCGCTCTCATTCCATTCCCAAATCTTTGCAACGTACAGAAAGAAGATTACAACTGTGTATCCAGACAGATTATTTAAGTTCAAGTTTGAGTTCCAAATTAGTATTTATTTGCATTATTCTCTCTACATCTTTCCAATGAATAATCCACTGCAAAAATTTAACTCACCTTGAGCAATCAAGTGCTTCGGGTCGGACATGGTGATTGTCTGCCTGGGCATAATGAATATCAAAAAGTCCACCTATCAAGAAATCCCCAGGCATGTAAAAATCTGAGACTTGAGCCGTGCATTGAGATGAAACATGCAGGCCATTTTCAAACAGAAACACCAAAGCAAAATGAAGGTATTGCATTCTGGCAGCCCTCCTCATCTAATGTGTGTTGCAGTGAGAAATACCTCCATTTATACTTTGTTGTGACAAAGTGATGTTGGTCAAACCTTTGTTGTTCCTTTCCACGCATGAGAAAATACTTGACAACTGACAAACACAGACCTATAAACGGTTGATTGAGTTTTCACAAATCAGTATGCAAAAGAGTCACGAGAGGTTCTGGACAAACACTTTCTAACCAAAAACTCAGAACAAAAATACAGTAATTAATTATTCAGTTCTATACTTTTGTATATCAACAATATACTACTTTGGCTTCATATTTGGAGGAAAGGAGAACAGGAATTTCCCTAGAGGGAATGACATAGTTGTGGACCTTGCGGTTACGCTGGAAGAGTTGTACTCTGGGAACTTACAGTAGTAGAGGTTGTGCAGAACAAACCTGTAGCCAAAGAGCCTCCTGGTAAAAGGAAGTGCAGCTGCAGACAGGAGATGAAGGACGATGCAGCTCAGACCGAGGCGCTACCAGATGACCCAAAAAACGGTGTGTGATGAGTGTCCCAACGTACTCTTACTATAATATATCATTAATATACTACAATAAAGCAGACCAAGAATCTGTTTTTATCTTTGATTGGGGTAGAATTTGTCTTTGGTGTGTTAGGAGTGTTGTATGTCATTTAAGTTTCTCTTAAATCAGGCCAAATGACAAAATTCTGCTATGATGCAATTTCTTATTGACGTTTAGAAAATGCATTTTGCTGCAGATATTTGGGTCAGGACTACATGAAGAGCCATGATTTATTTAGTACAGACACCACTTTGTGTTTTACCATGTCTGCATTGATAAATCTGGTTTCTGAAGTATAAAATAAAAAGGTTTGATTGGATAAGAAGCAGAACAAAAGAGGAATCATTATGTTACTTTGTTTTTGAAAATAAACTTTACAGAAACTGAGTCTGGGTCTTTTTTCCATACAGATAGCTTTTGAAAAAAAATGTTTCAGCATATTTCCCCTTATTTCATAAAGTGAAACTTATAAATTATAAGATTTGGGATGGTGATGTGAAGGACCACCTCTGTATTATGTTATCTCCTATGGCATGTTATTTTAACTGACTTCTGATCCTTTTAGATCCTTTACACACAGAGGGAAATAACTTAAGGCTTTATTTAATGATCACTGTGGCTAAAAGATAGTCAAAACCTGAAATTCACTGTTTAAGAAATAAGGAACAATTCTGAAAAAGGTGACTTGGTTATTTAACAATTAGGGTGTGGCATAACCAAGAACAACTCTAAAGATTTCCTCAGTCTCAAACTCCAATCATCAAGGTCCTGTATCCTGCTACTTTTAGATGTCACCCTTAACTTGCACACCTAAAAAGTTTGATTAACTTAAAACAGCAGTCAAGCTGTCCTGAAAAGCTCATATTGGAGTCTACTGGGATGATGCACACATCCAGAAGTTGCAAGTGAGTTTAAGACCAATGCTTTAAATGATCCTTCAGTCTAAAGCAACTTTTGGATTACTGGTAATTTAAAAAAAGGTCCTAAGGAGATTGACTAACCCCATACACAATGAGGGTAAACCACAAAAAAGTAATTGCAATAGAGGTGCATTGTTCACTATATGTTGCTCTAAGGCCTGTTGATTGAAAGAAAAATGTGTGATAAAAGTCTCTTAAGCAACAGGGATAACTGCAGCCTTTAAATGGTTGTTGAGCAACATATTAAAAAAAGGGGAAGCTTTAAAAGGAGTCAGTTTAGATTTTACTCAATAAATCTGGAAATACTATGCACAGATTAATCTTAAACATAAGATACTAATGTTGCATTCTGCATCTCACTACTGCTCACTGGTCCAATGTTATATTTTTATATTAAAGAACAGCTTGAACTGTAAAGCAAGGTCCCAGAGATTAAAGGAAGAGTTGGAGGCACAACATCCTGCCTGCTTTGAGTCAAATTAAGTCTTAAATATCAAAGAGCATTCAGTATGGAAGATAGAAGTACAGTATTTAATTAGAAATACATTTTTCTTTTTGATCTGTTTACTTTAATAAGTTGTTTTGAATTGTTATCTAGACCTTGAGAAAAGGCACCATCTAATTTTTGTAGATGCATTTAAACAAGATGCAAATTACACCGGATAATCGGTTTATGTTAAGAAAACCACCTCCTCTAGCAAATGGTCCTTGCACTACTAAATACTAGGCCAGTGAGGCAACTTGTTCAATGAAAATTTGCAATCAGGCCACAGAATAAAGTGATTGATAGCCATTAAATTTAAATCCAGTTGGGCAGCTCTTGGAAAGGCAGAACACCTTTTTCCTATGTGGGCGGAAAGGATGGGGACTTATAAAGGAAGAGAAAAGACACATGAGCAGGAACATTAATTCCAGCAGTTACAAATGTGTGGTAAATCTAAAACTTTAAAACCATTAAAATACTACAGAATACTTTTGTAAATGTAGGGGTGACAGGTCATGCAGATATTAAAAGATGCACAAGTTGAACCAATGCAAAAAAAACAAAACAAAGTCACAATAGCTTTCTTTTGAAATATATTTCTTTGCATTGCTGCTTCTAAATAGTAAATTCTTACTTCTAAAAATAAAGTAGTAAAAGTCCAATAGGAAAAAATTAATGAACAGTAGAATTAAAACACAGAAAATCAACAACCATACATCACAAGATTTATTTTTCTTCAGCAGTTTATTCATAAGAGAGATAATTTCAAAGATCAATAGATTTCTTCTTTTTGGTTTCCCAAAAATTATTATTCAATGGTGCAACAGCAGCGATTATGGTTTTCCTGGTGCATTTTGTTCATTGTAAAACAAATTACCATTAAACATCACCTAAAAATATATTCTTTCTGAGAGCAATATGATTTTAATTTGCTTTGACATGTTGGATCTTTGATTCATAAGGAAGGTGTTTATTGTACCATATTTTTTTTTTTCCATTTTATGAGAAATCATGTGATATTTATGGAAAACCTATGAAAATCTTTCCAAAGCTTAAACTCACTGCTGCACTACATGAACTGAATCTGGTAATGGGGCATTACACTGAACCTGGTGATGCAAATGGGGAAACAAATGTACTCATGTCAGGGGACACAACAAACCTTTATTGGCATAAGACAAAAACAACTAGGATTTGTTAAAAAGGAATTAATAACAAAACTGGATGTAAAAAAGTTGACGTAGACTTTAAATTATAAAGATATGTAGTAATATATAACTAGATCTAATAAAATAAAATAAAATTATTGGACACACCCACCAAGAAAACATGTATTAAATGCAACTAAATATAATTTCAAGGAATTATTCAAAGAAATACAAAATTTATTACAAAATGCAGGCTAAGATCAAAGAACACAAAAACTTAAATCAAAATAAATAAAAACCTGATATCTGTATTCAGTCACACATTTAAGACTATTAACAAGTAGTTAATATGCTAGATAAAAGTTTAAAACTATATGTAACCCTATCCTAAAAACCCAGAGGAACTGTGATCCATATTTTACATTGTATCACTTCTAGACTTCATTGATGTAAAATTAAATTCTATTTTGGACCAGTCAGGCTTCCCTCGTTTCCCTTTTGGATCTGCAAAATGCAGCATCTTGATTTTTAACAGGTACAATGAATGGGTTGCAATAAAATATAGCATTGAAATTAATTCTCAAATGCTTTAATTTGATTTTAAGTATTTCAGTTGTGCTGTCCCGATTGATTTCTCATGACTATTGCATCCAGGACCTTTTAGTTTTCGATAGCCGGCCTACCAGGGGCTTTTAGTTGGTTAAAGGACTTGATCTAAGATCGAAAAAAATTACAAATGTCCACCAGATTGGTTTAATCACTCTCAGTTATACTCTTTGTTTTCAAAATTGACCCCAAAACCTCACTTTTACTCCCAAGCCTCCAACTCAACGTAATACTTTGCTGGTAGTTTTAATATGTCCTTTTTTTCTTATATTCCCTTTATTCTTATCACTGTTTTGAATTTGTTTAAGGAACTTTTTGACATTAGTCTGAGTCCTCTAACTCTATGGTTTTCTGGAGCACTTCGATTTTAGAGCAAACTCCTACATCCCTATATCCTACATCACCATATTTTAAAATAAGAAACTCGGAAGTGTTTGATATTTATGCCGATGAACATGCATGTACAAAAACATTGCAGCACTAATTTTAGCTAATACACTACACAGTATCTAAAAACATATGCCGTTCATACTGAACTATGAGAATATTGCCAATTAACCTTTTCGAGAATTATATAATTATGTTTATCAAAGTCCAAGGTTACGTAAGTTTTATAAATTTGTGGTGGCATTGCTTTTCAGTGGCTTCACTTGGGTCAAATATTTTGGCTTGCCACAGATTCTGACTAGTTTGGTCCCTTCCTGACAGCCTGGTGTAACTGAGATAAGCCTAGTTTAGGTTCACCTTTGGGAATGAGATCAAGACTTTGTGGTGGCTATTTTGAAATTATATCTTCATTGTCACCAGTTAATACTGATGGTGGTCACACAGCCTGGTGACATCTGTGTACAACTCATTTGTGCCCAAGCCTTGACTTCCTGACGATGTCATAAAATCTTTCTTTATTATTTCCGATTTATATTTATATTCACAATTTTAAGTGCTTCAGTTTTTCAAATTAGACAAAAAGCAATACATATCAAAAGAAGCAAACAAACAAACAAACAAACAAACAAAAAAAAACAAATAAACAAAAAAGATGGACATAAAGAAAAACACCCAAACCCATTGATATAGTATTAGAAGCACAGGAGCCACAGCCCCTCCCTTTCTTTAGCTGAAGCTACTGTGAAATTGTTTTGGTATAATTTTGAATGAGACCTTGAAAGTACTTCTGTGTGTTTTTATGGGATTGAAAGATCATGATGTAACATTTTGGGAGGAAATACCACAGCAAAAAAGAGTAAAGACTTGAAAGAACTGCCAGAGCATTGAGAGTATGGATGTATTTTCCTCGGTAAAGAAGGTATTCAGTAACAAACAAGATCCAGGTGAAGATCAGCAGCAGTAGGCAGAAGGTTATGGCTTTGGCTTCATTGTAATTCTTTGGAAGGTCTTTTCCCATGTAAGAGAAATTAAAGCAAAGACAGCATAATAATGAGGGAATAAAAAAAGAACAAGATGCTGCTGTTAGATTTAAGTCACAGCTTAGAACAATTTGGTCTGGATACCATGATGTTTCATTGTATGGTCTGGGAGGATAAAAAGAAAAACTAAGAAGAACCAACAAGGCTTGAATCAAGAATGTCCCATTGATCAACAGCCACTGGGCATGATATTTTATCCACCAGCTTTGGAGTTTCGGGAACTTTGCAGCTATTTTAAAAATGCAAACAATCTGAAAAGATCGTACAACAAAACATGCAAGACAAACAGTGTAGAACAAAAGGAATGGGAAATACCTCAAGTAACAGGAAGCATTAGTAGGCCTACCAAAGTAAAAGAACACACTGGGACAACAGAGAGTGAGGCAGCCTAAAATCAGGAAGCACATTGGTCCTCCAGCAGATCTGACAACAGGTGTGTTGTAGTTGATGGCAAAGAGAAATGATACAGCTAGAATAAGACCCACCAAGATCAAGGTTCCGACCATCAACAGTATTGCCCTGCTGTCTGTGAACGGTACATACTCCACCAGTCGTGGGTGACATAATGCACTTCCTGCTGGAGACCACTCTGTCTCCTTACAGTTGATGCAGTTGTAGGGATCATCTGTTTTACAGTGTAGACAAAATTAAATATAATTATAATGTTTAAGACAGGTTAAAATCTTATCTATGCAAAACAAAGCTTGTATGAAAAAAAAATCAAGTTCACTGAGTGAAGACTTGTATTCTGGTAGGTTTCTGCAGCTTTCTGGTTATAGGATCATTCTGTATAGCTACATTAATGCCGTTATACAGTATAATAACGGTGACCATATCACATCAGAATTTAACAAAGTCAGTTTAATTTGTCTTGTATGTACTTTCAGGAAAATATTCAATTTATACCATATGTAACATTAGGGCAAATAGTAAATATGTTTACAATTCAGCCCATTCCTTGTGCAGTTTATAAACTATGATTAAATAAAGTGGTATGTAATTACAGTAAAACTCAAATGTATTTATATCCCTGGCAAATATAACCTGTTAGATTTCTTTAAACTGAAATCTGCCAGGGGTATTAAACATTTAGGACAATCAGTAGACAGATGTAATTCTTAAAATTTCAATCATTTACCTGTAATGTTTAAGTAAGTTTCATTTGGACACATTTCACACCTGAAGCAACATTCATGGATTCCAATTAGTTTTTTTGCATATCCAGTTGGACATTCTGGGGAACATAATGCGATCGGTACCTGCACAAAATACGTCATTAGCAAAACAAAGAATGCAAAGATGGCACTGAGAAGATCGTCTATGATAGCAGGATGAGAGAACAGATTTTCAACATTTGAGATTTAATAAATACACAGAAATGCAGCATTCAACATGCACAGGACCAAAATATATTGTCATCGCACATATAGAATACTCAGCACCCACATAGTTTATGTTGTTGAGTGTACTACAATGAAAAGCAGACTTACCTCCCCGTCTGTGTGCCACTGAATTAGGGTGTCATTGATGAAGAAAGTTGGAGATGGGCTAAAATGGTAAAAGCCAACCTCCTGAGCATCTCCACTTTGGTTCCAGAAAACTATTGAAAGCTGTCCAAATCGGGGGTCTCCATTCTTATTAAATTGAACACTCTGGTTTAACAACGTGAAATTGGACTTCTTGAGTTCATCTAGCATCTAAATTGTACAACAAAGAATTTTAATCATAAAACATTCCTAGGGAACTTTGTAAGTTTCTGTGCAAAATATCAGTCATCCAGGTCATTGCAGCAAAAAAAACAACAAAAAAACAAAAAAAAACAAACAAAGAAAAAGACTTAAATTGGATGCAGCCAAACTTTTGTTCAGTTTTTCTGAAAACCTTTCAACAAATATCCAGGAGTCTTTGTCACTGCTGGTGGCTTACACTAGAGAATTCTGTTTGAGCGCAGCTGTTTTTACAGTGTTGTCACACACAACATAGTATAAAATCTTACAACAATTCTGGCTCACTGGGTGGAAACACTCCACACCGCATCCAAACCTCCACAGACTCTATTTTTAAAGTCCAACCTTTGAGTCTGGCACTATGTTATCTCTCTTTTAACCTACATTTGTATTTTGGAGGCAGTGAACACTGATGGAACGAAACTGAAACATGATGAATATCAAGAAGCCAGGAGCAATTTAACAGCAACCCAGATGTATGACCTGTTCGATCTCTGTCTCTGAACCCTATGTATTTCAAGTACAGAGACACTTCTCTAAAAAAAGATGGGTTTGCCATGGGGCCTCCAGTTTCACAAATATTTACAGAGATCAGATGACTCAGTACTTAAAAGGGAACATAACTAACTCACTGGATTATATACATGGATGACTCTTGGGTCAAAATTTCAAGAAAATGAGGCATTCACAAACCACATTAACTCAGTGGACAGAAACATAGAGTTTACCAGAGAGGATGCTAACACAAACATGTTGCCCTTACTGAACTGTGCTATGCACACTGAGGATGATGAAATTCTCAACAATGAGGTTTACCAGAATCATACAGGGGAGACACAAGGAGAGAACAATGATTAAAAATATATCTCACCCCTTATGTATTAAGAGTTTCTGAGAAACTAAGGATACATTTCTCCAAATACAACATATCAGTGAATTTAAAAACCTTAAAAACTCTCAGACAAAAGCTGGTTCATCCCACAGACAGATATATAATAAACCAGTTGACACTTTTAAAAAGCAGCTAAAAACTCAAGTGTTCCCAAATGTTTTTCAAGTAACTAATCATCTTATTCATTTATTTAGTTTTTTGCTTGAATTTTACTGGGTTTTACTTAGAACACCTAGGCTATAGTAAAGCTTGTGTGGCTTTTCTATGCAGTTCAGTCCACCAAGTAGTGCTCTGAGTAGCACATCATAGAATCAAAACAAGAGAAATATACTTCTCTTTTTGTCTAAAGAGAAAAGCCAACACTAAACAGGGAAGGATTTCAGTATTAGTTCCCAAGAATACAATAAGGAAAATAAGCAATTGAACATCCTGCGATCGTGAAAGTTCTCCCATTTATAATTCATGGAGGGGTGTGAAATTTTCTTCTTAGGTATATGTCAACTGTGAGAGATATAATCAAAATATTAACAACAAATATTAACTTAAGTTCAAATACTTATTTGCAGCAGTAACATGCAAATAAATTATTTAATTATTTAATAGATTATTGGTCTCACAGTTGACATGAAACTAAAATGAAATTGGACCCCTACATGTTTTATGCGAGTACTTGCAAAATCATAGGGAGGTCAAATGCTTATTTTCTTTACTGTATATAACCCTGTATTGAAACTCCCTACAAATAAGTTCCATAAGCAGTCTCATCATGATTCAGACGGCCAAGTAGCAAATCACATCAGGGGTGTTGGTTCTGCAGTGGATCACGTGGGCCAGTATTGCCTATCCTTGACTGAAAACAACCAATAAACTTTGATGACGCACCAGAATGAGTGATTGATTTGCATCTAACTTGGAATGCGACTAGGAGGGTGAGCCTCCATCTACATAAAACCAGCAGCTCTCCAGGTTGCTGTAGTGTGACCAAGACAAAGATGCGAAAATGTTTTCAGTTGTCAGTGATTTCCTGACCCACATCTTTGACACATCTTTGAACTGACCTTTTTTTCCTCCTTTTCTTTTGTATGGCTTGATGAGAGAAGTTCGGCTTTAGGCTGTCCTATGAGGATTTTAAACCTGGGTTTGAATGCCGACAAATTCATACTGAAGTACATATTAAGGTGCTCATTCATGAGCCTGGATTGATATTTATTTTTCAGTGTCTTCATGGTGGAGAATCCTGCTTCACAGCAGTAGGTTGAGCCAAACATACTCAAAATGAGCAGGGTCATCTTTGAGTACACCATTTCACTTTTCTTTCATCCGTGCACAGCGCTTCTTGCAGCAGTTAACACTTTCTCTATCTATCTCTATCTTATCTAACTCCCAGCTTGCCACAGCTTTGCCTGCTGTGTCCAAAAGTCGCTAGCAGCAGCAGTAGCAGCAGCCCTGACTTAACACAGCTCATTGGCTAATTTGCATCACTTGCTGCCTGGTGCCGGACGCTCTGGAAAGCTTTACTAGCTTAAAAGGAGAAGTGGTGGAAGGGACGTTAAACACTGTCGTCGGAGAATATGCATAATTTATAAATATTTTAAATCAGGTTGGGTTTGGATTAGCCAGCAGGTGGGTGTGGTATCGGACCCTGGTTGTAAGTACGCGGTTCGATCCCCACAGCGTGAATTCTAAATTCCTGAGCAAGACCCTTAACCCCACACTGCTCCCCAGGCACTGAAAAGGGGAGCCCAGGGGATAGGTTAAATGTAGAGAGTGAATTTCGTTGCTTTGTTCTTGACAATGTAATGACAATAAAGTTGAATTCTAAAAAAATAAAATAAAATACAAATTCACACAAGAAACATCTAATGATAGATAATAGTAAAGAGCCTTTTCAAGACCACTAGCTTGCTTGATGTAGCCTAGAACGTAACTTCCGTGAACTTGTGTTGATCAGTCCTTAAAATAATTAAATTAAAATGTGAATACACGTAACAGTAAATAAAAAAAAAACCTCAAATCATTTGTTTTGTTTTTAAATTGTGCAAGTATTTTTAGTACATTTAAAATCTCTCTCTCGCCACTAAGGAAGGCTGCGACAGCCCCAGCAGCCCCACTTCCTGTGGCCATGCATAAGAAGATGTATAGCTGTATAACTTTTAGGTTTTTGCACAGCATTGTAATTTCAGGTGGACATAATGCAAAACTATAACAATGTCTAAGCTGTTAGATTTCCATGTATTAAACCTAATAATTATTCATTTTTATTCAAACTTAATTATTATATACAGTACTATGCATCAACATGTGTGAGTAAATGAAAAAAAGACTGATTTGTACTCACCATCAGTGGTTGGACGGATATATTGTCATTGCATCTGCCAGTTCCACATTCTAGGATGTTGTGTAAGGCATGAGCAACAGCATGCACAGCAGAATAAACCGGGAAAGAGAATGAGGGATCTGCTGCAAGAATATCTCCAGCAGTCAAATTTCTGCAGTTGCAAACCTGATTACAAAAGGTCTGCTGCTCAGAGTCTGCTTTAGGTACCTGACCTTGAGTAAAATTGATAAAATCATGAAAACCAGGAATTGTTACTAGAGGCTGAGCCACTCCAAGCACAGTTCCAATATGTTTGATTCCTTCCATTTTTTGAAGAACTTTGTTTAAAGACCATCCATCATCTGCTATCCACACTTTGTTGGTCACCTTTAGCTGAATTGCAGTTTTAATGACAGCTTCAGCATATATTTTTGGTGCAAAAACAACAATTACATGTATGTTATCTGCATCTATTTGTTTGAGGATTTGTGAGAGATCTGTGTTTTCACTGAGGGCCTTGGTATATGCCAGGCAGATGTCAGTGTTTTTTATCCTCTCGATGAACCTCTCCAGGCCGTCGATGCCAAAGTCATTATTGCTGTACAGGAAAGCAACCCAGCGCCAGTTGAAGTGTTGGAAAATTGCGACAATGACATTTATAGTGTCTTTGTTGGGGTGCACGGTTCGGAAAAATGAGGGGTATTTGAGTTTTTCGGAAAAAACTGAAGCAGAGGATCCATAACTGACCTGCCAGGAGTGCATAAACAATCATTTCTGAATGTAACATTAGGATATGAAAATAAAAAAAAAAATGGAAGATAAATGCTAATAACTAGGTTCAAGAAATGCAAAACACAACATATTTACCATAGGAGTGTGATCCATCATAAAAAGTGGAGCAACAGTCATGCTCTGTGTGCTTGTAAAAGGACCAACCAGAGCCACTATTTTGGAGCGATTCTTTGATGGGTCAGGCCATGGCTGGATGGAGCCATTCACTGAGATGAGTTTAAAGATCCCTGGTAGGCTAAGTGTGTCTAAACAGATATCAAAAATCTCATAACCAAGGCTAATATTTGGCAGCAAGGTGGTGGAATTATTTATTTCCTCAACCGTGAATCTCATCAACTGAAACCTCCGGTAATTTGGAAGAAGGAAAATTTCACTAAAAAAAGTAATGGGAATACAACATTGCATTACTACTACAGATTTAATTTTTAAAGCCCACTAACTTTATTGTAAGAGTTGGAGTTTCCAGCAGCAACTTTATAGATTAATTCAAGTGACTCACCGGGAACAATCAATGGCTTCAGGTCTGCGCTGATAACGAGATGAGCTCACATAATGGATGTCAAAAAGTCCACCAAGTAAATAATCTCCTTTCAAATGAAATTCTGAGGGTCTCAGTGTGGATTTTGTGATGCCATGGACGAAAAATCCCAGAACCCACAAAGCAGGAAGAAAATGTGACATTCTTGCAATTAGTGTTTACTAGTCTGAGAGGAACTGTCAAAGGGTTCTAGAGACACTTTTGATGGTGAAACCTATTCATTTCCATGCTGGTGGTAATAAAATTCATACCGAGAAGTGGTTAAGAGGTAATTTACAAAGTAGCATGCAAAAGCATTGAAACCACTCTTGTAATTTCTTAGTGCACATGGGTTCAATGCCTTTACAAAAACAATAAAATTGAGAATATTTTCACACAACAGAGAAAACAATTGTATCATTTAGAAGTTGTCCACATTAGGCATAGTTTGCCTGCTCAAAAATAAATAATTACGAAATCTTAGTAAGTACACTAACATTACAGCACAAAGCAAGGAGTTGAAAAAAACATTTCCTTTGTTTTAAGTGCAGGGTTCCAAACACTGTATATGAGCTGAGGGCACAAGAATAAATTACTTCTTTCAAAAAAGGATGATTTTATACACAATTCATTCTCATGACTGCATGTATCAACTATCATCCTCCTGCAACCATAATCCTACTAATACTGCAATAGTTTTAGTTTTTCTTGATCATCCAAAATTCCTTCCTAAATGTGCTTTAATAAAAAAAAAAAAAAACTTTATGGTAGACTATACAAAACTGATACTTGGTTGTAAAAAGTGGTGTGTCAATTATCAAATAACTTAGGTGTAATTTATGCCCCACATATGAGCATATGCCAGCATACATCGGGAAATTTTGAGCATGCTCAAAATTACCACACATACTTGCTGTAAGTCGAGGTGTGCCAGCCTGCTTTAGTGCGCTCCTAACTCATACAAAACATACCCATAACTTATGCAACGTATGCCAGCGTTTTTGCAAGATTTTCCATACTTCAGGCATATGTTGGTCTAAATCATCATGGTGTGACAGGGGCATTTCATAAAATCTATTCAATTCAATTCAATTTGTTTATATCATGCTCATTCATAAAACATGTAATCTCAAAGCACTTCAAGCACAGACAATTCAACCAGATAATTCAGTCAGATTGGTTGTAATTTTTCAATCTAAACAACACAAGCTGATTGCATCAACTCACTGACTCACAAGCCATCCCTCACACCAAGCATGCTTATAATGAAAGTGGAGAGGAAAGCTCCCTTTTAACAGGAAGAAACCTCCAGAAGAACTAGGCTCAGTTTGAGCGGCCATCTGCCGAGGCAGAACTGGTGTTCAAAGAACAAGGAACAGACATACAGAAAGAAGCAAAAAGCAACCAGCTCCACAGGCAGCTCTGTGCAGGAAACAAACACTCAGGCAGATGAGCTCCAAGCTAGCTCCCATGCCCGAGGATGAAAGAGAGCACATACAGTTAGTCACAGTAAGAGAAACAGAACTACACAGAAAAACAGGCCAAGCTCCAACATCTATAAACAAAGGGGTTGATGGCAGCAGCACAGCTGATATTTCTCTTCGGGATGGTGTCACAGGCAATCAGGAACAAAGCTACTATAATGAGAAAAAGCAGAGAGCATAAGGTTAGAGGTTGAACAAAAAAGAACTGCAGACTGGGAGAATGGAGCTGGAATGATGCAGAATGATGGAAAGGGGTCCCTATGTTCTCCAGCAGTCTAAGGCTATATGTAAGTTTTATCAAAAAGGAAAGCTTTAAGCCTAGCCTAAAAAGTAAACAGGGTGTCTGCCTCACGGACTAAAACTGGCAGTTGGTTCCACAGGAGAGGAGCCTGATAACTAAAAAAACTGCCTTCCATTCTGCTTGAAGAAATTCTAGGAACCACTAGAAAGCCTGCAAATTGAGAGTGAAATGCTCTGTTAGAAACATAAGGTACAGTACAATCTTATCTCTGATAGAAGACAGAGCTTGGCCATTCAAGGCTATATATCTATTCTATTCTGGATTTAACAGGAAGCCAATAAAGAGAAGCTTGAATAGGAGAAATACAATTTCTCTTTTTCATTTTCATCAAAAATCTGGCTGCAGCATTTTGGATGATGGCTTTTAACTACTGTTTGTGGATTTCCTAAAAGTGAATAACAATAGTCCAGCATTGAAGTAATAAATACATAGTCTAGTTTCTCAGCATCAAAACCTGGACGGGATGTTTGCAGGGGTTTTCACAATATTGCGGAGATGGTAGAAGGAAATTCTAGATACCTCTTTGATATGGGATTTCAATGAGGGGTCCTGATTAAAAATAACACCAAGATTCTATATTTTATTATCTGTGATCAATTTAATCCAATCAAAATGAAGTGACAGACTGATAAACTTATTTTTCAAAGAAATTGGTCCAAAAACAATAAATTCTGTTCTGTCTATATTCAGAAGCACAAAGTTAAGAGTCAGCCAGGATTTTATGTCTTCAAGACATGCCTGTAGTCTATGTAATGGGTTAGCTTAATTTGTATTTATAGACAGATATAGCTCAATATCATCAGCATAACAGTGGAAATTAATGAATCCCATGTTGTCTAATAATTCTAGCAACTGGGAGCATGTACATATTAAACAGAAATGACCCCAGCACAAATCCATATAGTACCTTACAGGTAACTCTGGAGCATTAAAGTGAACAAACTGAATTCTGTCAAATAAATAAGATTTAAACCAGCTTAGTGGAGTTCCCTTAATTCTACAAGTCTTCAAGCCTTTCTAAAATAATATTATGATTGACTGTGTCAAAGGCAGCACCAAGCTCTAACAGGCCAAGTAGAGCTACAGGGCCATTGTCTGAGGCCATGAGAATATCATTAGTGACTTTCACCAGAGCTTTGTCAGTGCTATAATGAGCTCTTAAGCCAGACTGAAACTCTTCAAAAAGTTAATTATGGTGTTAAAGGTCACACACTTGTTTGGCAACTATTTTTCTCAAGATAAGATAAGAAAGGAAGACTAAATATAGGTTTATAATTGACCAAGTAATCTGGGTCAAGAGACCCTTAAGAGTTTCTAAAGTAAAGGTTTTACTACAGCTACATTATAAGCCTGGGGCATATGTCCCTGTAAAATGGATAGGTTAATCACAGCTAAGATGGAGATGAAAATCAGAGGGAACACTTTCTTAAATTTCTTGGTTGGAACTACCGTAGATCTAATGCACAAGCTGAAGAATTAGATCAAGATAATAGTTTTGCTATCTCTGAAGTCCAACTGGATCAAATCAGTCTGAACCCGGTTCAGATTCTATAGTTACCTGTAATGCTGCCTTACCTTCCGGAGATAAATTATTCACATTTAGAGGAGTGTCAATTATCTTATTTATAAAGAATCCCATAAAATATTACTGCTAAGAGCAGGTGGGATGCACCGTTCAACACAGACATAACTCTAAAAAGAAATCTAGGATCATTCTTATTATTCTCTATTAATGAGGAGAAATGAAGGAAGGGTAATTTTCTACAGCAGCACACTGTTTTTCCAGACTAGGCATGATTCCCGTAGGCATGTAGAGTGCCAGACTTTGTGATCATTGATAAGAAGCAGAGGACGGACATAGTGATTGATGTGGCCAATCCATGATGTTGACAACTGAGCAATCGGGGCACTAACCCTTAAAGAAGGGGCTCCAACAGACACCTGGAGACACATGAGACATCTTAGTCCAGAAATGTGCAGTTCTAGGGACAGCCGTGAAAAAACCCTCAAGCTCCCAGGCCTCTGCTACTCTGGTAGAGGACAAAAGCTTGAGATGAAGAGGTATATATGGAGGCTCAGTGATGCAGTGGTTTGCACTGAGCTACAGTTTATTTGTTATTATTCCAAAGTATTTTTCTTCTAATAGCTGCATATTACTTAGTTTATTTCTTTTTGCTTGTTGGACTTTTTTAATCTACTAATGCTCTTGCCAGAGCTAAATAATGTAAAACCTCCCTTGCTGAAGGATAATGGTAGAGGGAAAACAATAAAAAAGAAAATACAAGTGAATTAGTATTATATCAAAACTGTTATTATTTTTCTTTGTTTAAATTTTTCAAATTAACAATTCATATTTGGGTGATCTCAAATCATATTCTTTAAAGAGAACGAAGTTTATACATGAGGATTAAATAATTGAATCACTTTTAGTAGTATTTAACAATGGTATAAAAGGACAAATAAAAAACAAAAAACAGGCAATCCTACTTTTAACGCAATGGGATTACAGATATAATACTACACGATTTGTAGGGCGCAATATAGTTATCTGATTTGATGTTGGCATTAGTGATTAAACATCTCTTATTTCTATGTTATAATACTATTTCTATTCTATTTAACAATTAATTTAAAAAACAAAGTTAGTGTACTTGTCACTAGTTTGTTGTTATTGAAATTGGAACCCTTCTAAAAGCAGCCATTTCTGCAGCCTATTTAACCCAGACTATTGTCCAGGAAGGTAGACTCAAAAAGGTCAAGAAAGTTTCATTAAATTTAAAAAGACACACTAATTTAAAATTGATGGCCTTTACAATACCGTGACCCCAAATGCAGATTTATTTTTATGTTTTCCAAACAGAAAGATTTTAGATCCTTTAGATAGACATTGTGTCAGGAATCCAGTTTATGTAGGTTGTGTTTTTGTGTTGTTCTCTCCCTCCACCACCAGGTGGCGCCCTGTTCTCGTTGGTCCTCCCATACACCTGTGGCTGATTGACTCATCACTGAGGACTATTTGAGCCATGGACTGTCACTACCTCGGCGCCAGAGTGTTTGCCAGTTTTGGGTACTCTAGCCAAGCTGAGTTTTGCTGAGTCTAACTTAGTAGTTGTTTTTCACTGAGCCTAACCTAGTTTTTGTCTTTGTCTTTTCGGCAGGAAGCCTTCCTGCAAGCTGGATTTTTGGCCTTCTCCTCCTGGAAGGATTGTGTGAGTCTCACACTGAGCAGGGGATAAACCTCCACATGTTCTGTTCAAGTCATCCTGGATTCCCAATTGACAGTCCGCTCATTAGCTCCTCTGGGTCTAACCAAGTCATACCTGTCCGCCCTCCAACAAGTCTCTCTGGAAAAACCCACACAGACTGGATTCTGGGAGGAAAGTTTTCTCCACTAATGTATGTCCCGTTTTCTCTGTCTCATCAAATCATCGTTCAAAGTTCCCACGGATCCTGAACTAACCACTAATACTTCCCTTCCCTCTTCCACTTCCGGTTCACCAGTTCACTGTGTTTCCTGAATCCTACCCGCTGGTTTCATCAATAAACCTATTCAAACTTTTAGCCTGGTTCTCTGAGTGGTTTTCTGCATGTTGGTCAGATCTCTTAAGAAAATCATGACACATAGAAGAAATGCAAAAACTATAGTCAAAGATTTTGTAAACCTGAGTATGGTAGATCTTTAAGCTACTCATAAAAGAAGACCTGAACATTTTCAAAAAGGTTTCAAATTTTCTAAAGATGTGCAAATCTATATTGACAATTTAGTTTACCTCACATTTAACTGTAGAACAAATAGGATAACCCATATGCTTATTTGAAATTGCTGTATAATTTCTTATAATTTCACCTTTCACTATCTATCTTTTTCTTTATTTAAAAAAATCCAGCTTTCATAGGAACTCAAAATTTGGTGTCTAGACTCAAGTGTTCTGGTTTTGTGACATCTGCTGGTGGTTCAGTATAAACACAGTTTAAGAGGTGTTGCATGCAGCAGACAGAAAAGCTGAAGAGCAAAAAAAACAAACCTCTTTATTTTTTATTGTAAAATATTTAGTATTGTTAAAGTCATCTTTAAAGGTCTGAAAGAAAATACAGTTTATAATGAAACTATTCATAATCAGACATTTTATTAAAACCAATGCAAGTTATAGTGCAATTATTTTATTTTGATTTGTTTAATAGAGCCACCAACATTAGCAGAGATATATAAAGAGGGAGAAAACAGATCAATCATTATTTAGTATCAAAGATTCTAAAAATGTGAAAAGCAGTGCTTATGCCCAAATTCCTACAAAAATTGTTTAACCGGTAAGTAGAGAAAATAAGTTACCAAACCTAATCATGGGACCAAATAAGCTTTATTGTTACATGAAAAAACAGAAATATATTGGTCTGCTAGCCTAGTAAACTAGCCCAACCCGCCAGCAGCCAAAATCATTTTTGCCTGCGAGTTTGGTCTAGCCTCGATCAATGCCCCAGGCCCTAGAACTGGCGGGCCAATCACAACGCAGAGATGTGTTTTGAATTTCTAGATGCAAAGCGGGTGGGGTTTTGATGGCATGACGACAAAGCTGCACGACGCTGGAGAAAGCACAACAAGGAAGGTGGCAACAACTATTCAACAGTACTCGTTTGACTCAGCTTTGGAATCAGTTTTGAAAGGGTTAGACTTGAGGTTTTCGTTGAAACGTGAGCAAGAAGAGGCTCTATGCTAATTCATTTTTAAGAAGGATGTCTCATTCATCTGGGCCAGACTAAATTACACATTTAATCTCACATTTAGTCTGGTTTATTAGGCTATTGGTCTGTGTTAATGTAAGCACACCATCCCAACTGTTAAACATGGAAGTGGCAGTATCAGGGTGTGGGAATGAATGCATGATTTTAGGAGGTACAGTTGGAAGATGGATAGATCCTTCTGGAAAAGCTTAATGCTGCAAGCTACCATTATCCTCAAGAGCTGATGTTCTGCACACTTTAGATGTTCCTCTTGAAAACTAAATACTAAAATAAAATACTAAACTAAACTAAGTAAAATCAGTGGTTCATAATCATTATTCGAGGGTAATAATTTAGATGAATTGGAGAAGGGACACATGTAAACATTAAGTAATCTTGTTCTTGAAGTATGCTGATATCCACTTCATAGTCTCTCCAAAAAAGTAAAAAAAAAAACAATCCACTGGACTTTATTTCTTGGTCTGAAGACGTTTCACTTCCTGTCCAGGAAGTTTTTCAATTCAAATGTCAGAAATAGCATTCAGTTGCTTTATACACTAGCTTAACAAAGCCTTGTTTAACTTGCTCTTGAAGATGAGGTTAAGATCAAATAATTATTTAATCTAAACCTACAGGTTTAGATTTAATAATGAGTGATAGGATGGCCAATTCAAAATCCAACAAAGAATCTTCGGGTAGAACCATCCCCTTACTCTATACCAATGGAGGATTTAGTACCTAGTCAGCTGTAGGACTTCTCAACTGTCATTGTGATTGCTGAAGGAACAGAGGTAGGATTCACAAGACAAGGCATAGCCTGACCAGGAGTCGAGCAGACATATTTATCACTTTTTATTAACTTAATATATTTTAAAAATTTGTTTTAAAGGTGTCTTCAAACAAGAAAGTAGACCTAAAACTGTGAGCACCCAGCTGATCGAGATTATGAACCTGCTTATTTTTTTACCCTTGTGAACAAATCTTTTTGCATTAAACCTTTGGGTTTTCAGTAGAAAAATGCTCATTCACAGGTAGCCTAAGTATATCAAATAAAATACTAACCTAAATTTGAAAAATGCATTGCTTATCAGAAGTCTTACCTTCTAACTCCCGACAAGCTTAGAAATAAAGCTAAAACATCTAATGGCCTAGTGGCTGATTGTTTTTGTGTAGTTCTGAATGAGACCCTGGAAGTACTGTTGTGTGTTTTTGTGAGGCTGTAGAACAATGATGTAGCACTTTGGGAGGAAATACCACAACAAAAATGAGTAGAGACTTGAGAGTACTGCCAAAGCATTAAATGTATGGATGTGTTTTCCTTGGTAGAGTATATAGGCTGTGGCAAAGATGACCCAGGTAAGGATTAGTAGTAGCAGGCAAAAGGTTATAGTTTTGGCTTCATTATAATTTTTTGGTAGGTCTTTCCCCATGTAGGAGAAGATAAAGCAAAGCGAGCACAAAGAAAGGGGTATAATTACAGATACTATGGTTGCTGCAGTATTAATTTCGCAGCCAAGAATGATCCTATCCTGGTAGATGAATGTGTTACGGTGGGGATGGGGAGTACCAAAACTGTAACTGCTAATAAGGAAAATAGCCTGGGTGACAAAAGCCCCAGTGATGACCACCCACTGTCCATGATATTTCATCCACCAACTTTGAAGTTTAGGAATCTTTGCAGCTATTTTGAAAATACAGACAATCTGAAAGGAACGCACCACAAAACAAGCCAAACAAACTGTGTAGAACAAGAGAAAGGGGAAGTATCTTAAGATGCAGGAAGCTGTTGTTGGTTCTCCAAAGTAAAAAAACACGCTAGGACAAGAGAGGAATAAACAGCCTAAAATTAGGAAGCACATCGATCCGCCAGCAGATCTCACAACAGGTGTGGCATAGTTTACAGTAAAGAGAAAAGTGACTGTCGAGGTGAGGCCCACAAAGATGCAAGACCCGATGATGATAAGTATAGCTCCACTGTCTGTGAATGGCACGTACTCCACCAGCTTCAGACTACATGATGTACTTCCTGGCTCAGACCACTCTGACTCCTTACACGGGATGCAGCTGTATGGATCCTCTGTTTTACAAGAAACAACAGATGTGATTAAACTGAAAAATTAGAGACACCTTAGCACATAATCATTTGAATAGGATGCAGGGTCTGAGTTTTTTACAGCAGTGCTTGATAAAAATATTTGAACAACCCTGGTACAGATCAAAAAGAGACATGTTTCAGTCTGGGACATTCTTAAAGGTCTAAAATTTGCCTTTTAAATTCTATGGGATATAAGTTTGGAACAATGTTGAACATTGACAAATATTCAGTTTTCCAACTTTTTTTCTCCTTTCAGTTTCAACAGGGCAAAAACCAAATAACTCCTAAGATTTTGTCATCAAACATTTTTTTTAACATTTTGATAGTTGTCAAAATGTTAAAGTTGACTTGGGGCTTTAAATCAATTGGTCAAAAATCAATGAAATAACCCTATGCCAATCTGAAAGTCACAAGTTTAAATTAGTAAAATATGAATATTTAAAATCTAAAAAAAAGAGAGATTTTGAAGAGTAAACAACTCCAGATAAAAATGGCGGAGGAAGCCTTTTCTTGGCATTCTTGTGTAAAGTTAAACAAATTTCTCATCGACCACTTTGTGTAATTTTTACAAACTCCAGCAAAGGGTAGCTGTTTGCATCTAGGAAGCTGATTTAAAACTGTTCTGAACTGTTTGCAGTTCATAGTAAGTGCTACGTTTGGTCATTTTTCCCCAGTAAAATAAAATGAATAATTTTCTAACCTGCAATGTTGATGTATGTTCCTTTTGGACAGATATCACACCTAAAGCAGCATTTGTGGATCCCAATTTGTGTCTTTGCATATCCAGAAGCACATTCTGGGGAACACTGTGAAATGGGAACCTTTTTACAAACACAACAATAGCAAAGATTAGTCAAAATTTCATAGAAATAATATTCAAGATAGCAAACTGTACAACAGTTTCAACTTTGACATGTTAACCTAAATCCAAAGGAGTTTTTTTTTATGTATTAACAACTTCTTTTTATTTTATCATCCTAGCCAGCTGTGTCCTACCAAAGCAAGAACATGCTCTAGTGGGGGGATTTGAAAAAAATAAAATAAAATCAAGTAAGATTTGCTACTTTAACTAATCAACTACAAAATACCATAACCTACCTCTTGATTTGTAAACCACTCGATCTTGGTATTGTTGATAAAGAAATTGACAGATGGGTAAAATACATGGAAGCCAATCTCCTCTGCAAAGCTGCTGCGGTTCCAGAAAACTATTGTGTAGGATCCAAACCTTGGGTTTCCATAATCATTAAATCCAATGCTGACATTTAACAGGGTAAAATTTGATTTCCTCAGCTCTTCAAGAACCTGCAAAGTGCATTAAAAATGATTGTTAGAACCACAGCTAATCATATGTTGGTAAGATTTTCTTTAAATTTCAGAAATTGGTGTAAGAAAAAAAAATGTGTTTCTAGAATGCTACATTAGTATAATACCTACTTAATATGCTTCTTACATGCATACAGACACATACAGAGAAGTATTTTCCTAAGTTAAAACTATATAATTCTGCTATTATTTAATTCTATTTATTAAATTTTTATTATTAACTCACCGTGTGTGGCTGTACTTTAATATCACGGCTGCAGTTAATAGGTCCACAACGCAGAACATTGTGTAAAGCATAAGCAATGGCAAAAACAGCTGAATGAACTGGAAATGAAAAGGACGGGTCGACTGAAACAATCTCCTCTCGTGTCAAACTGGTGCAGTTGCAGTCCTGATTACAAAACTTTTTTTCTTTTGGTAACTGGCATTTGGAAGAGTAAATGAAATCATCAAAACCAGGAATTGGTAGTACTGACTGAGACACCCCAAGTACAGTTCCAATGTTTTTGACCCCTTCCAACGTGAGGAGCCTTTTGTTTAAAGACCAGGTATCCCCTGTTATCCACACCTTGTCAGTGATATTCAGTTGAATTGCTGACTCAATGAGAGCCTCACCATCCATGTTTGTGGAAAAAACAATGATGGTGTTTAATCTCTGTTGTTCTATTTGCTTAAATATTTGAGCGTAATCAGATTTATCATCAAGGCCTTTGGTATAGGCCACACAGGTGTCAGTAGCTTTAATCGCTTCTAGGAAAAGCTCCATTCCATCAATTCCAAAATCGTTGTCACTGTAAAGGAAAGCGACCCAACGCCATCTGAAGTGCACCAAGATGTTAACCATGACATCGATGACTTCTTTGTTGGAGTGCACTGTTCGAAGAAAAGATGGAAATCTGCTTTTTTGGGAAAAGGCAGAGCTGGCAGCACCGTAGCTAACCTGTCAAACAACAACAAAACAATTCACACAATTTCCTACAATAGATTTGGCAACTATGACTTTAAATGTTCTTATATATTCATGTTAATTTACATAGAGAAATTATTTTTATTTTGTTATATACTTTGAAAAAAAATGATGCAGAAAATAGTAAGGTGAGTTTACCATTGGTATCAGATCCGGCATAAATAGTGGGGCTACAGCCAGGGTGTTGGTGCTGGTGTAAGGGCCAACCACAGCTATCACTTTAGGATTGTTGGAGAAATTCTTTAATGGTTCACCCCATGGCTGAACCACTCCATTGTTTGAGATGAGTTTAAATATACCCGGCAAATTTTTTGTGTTTGAGCATTGGTCAAATATTTCATAGCCAAGAGAGACATTTGGAAGCAAGTTGGTGGAATTATTGATTTGCTCAACTGAGAATCTCATCATCTGAAACCTCCGGTAATTTGATAGAGAAAAAATTTGACTGCAAAAAGAGAAAACATGGTAAAGAAAAGGATTCCTGGTTTTCTTTATGGATGTAAATAAGAAATAACAATTTTCTGTGCAATCAAAGTGTTACAGAGATAAAGCAGGATGATTGATACAGGCTGAGGTTAAGCTCCTTTTAAAACTCATGAAGTATAAATTTCTGTGAAACTTACGTGGTGCAGTCGATGGCTTCTGGTCTTCTTGATAAAGCCATACCGCTAACATGATGAATATCAAACAGTCCCCCTATTAAATAATCACCATCCAGTTGAAATTCTGAGGCAGTGACCAAGCTCAGACTCAGTGAAAGCAAAAACACTACACTAAAAAAACAACAACAAATAAAATCTCTCATTCTAAGGCAGTGATATTTTAACATGTGCATGTGAAATCTCAGTATGAGGTTCTACTTTCAACAAGTAATGCTCTTTTGAAATGACTATCCCCTAACGTTGCATTTCAGTGGACGTTTTGATGCATGATCTCACATGCCATATATACACATACCCCTATATGATTGGTGGATTGTTAACAAATGAGCATGCAAACAAAATCCCAGCAGTTCGGGACTCTTTTTAATGTATTCAAAAGCAGGTGAAACATTAATGTAAAAACTTCCTCCACTTTCCAAATGTTTAAGTAAATCCCAAACCAAGTTCATGACTACTTAGTATTATTTAGCTTTGAGCTACAAAACTCTCAGTTTTAAAATGTAACCACTTCGATCATTTGCCTTTTAACACAATGCATTTGTGCAGTGGAAAATAAGACAGATTCCTTCCACTTCTTGAAATGTAAAAGCATTATTAATACTGTATTAATATGTTGGCCATGAATAAATTGAACCAGAAATACTACTAAGTAATGCTGCCTTGATGTATTATTATATTTTGTATCAGTATTATTATAAGAGTACTAGAGTTGAGCAATGTAGGGATCAAAAAACAAAAAACTGCCAGTCTAAGACTGTAAGTGGTCAGAGGCAAATAATCTGTGATGTTTTGACTATTTTATCCAGGTGTCTTCGGGTTATGGTAAAATGCTACATCCTGTTACAAATAAGCTCTGCTTGACTGGATATTAAGCCACACAGATCATTTGCAAGACCTCTGTGGGAGGCAGTGGGGTTAGCAAAAAACAAAAGCAGAAATCTATTTAACTTTGATTTTGCATTGTACACTAAGATACAGAGAAATGGGTTCCAGAAAGATGTAGCAGTGGTAATTAAACTTGAAATTAAGCACCACAGAACCTTGGATGGAGGACCAATTTTTTTTTTGCCATTAATGTTATTTAGGTCAGCATATTTTTTATGATTAAAAAAAATCTTAAATTGAACACTATACGCAGTAGCATTATAGATAAAAGTATTTTTAGTTTTGCAATAATCTGCCTCAAATAGATGGGACACCAGCAAGTGGAGCTGAGCATAACCTCCAACCTAGTTTGATATGCATCCAATATGATACAGACAGTTAGGCCAATATGTCAGCAAAATATTGTGTAAAGATGATTCTTGATTTATTGTGTTGTTAGCTCAAAATGTAATATATACATAAAATAACAGATGTCTAAACTGCAGAAATTAAGATTAACTTAACAAGGATAAGGTAAGGCTTGTCCCCCTAGTGATGCCCTCACTCATGTTTGAACCTACCTCTATCCTTTTTTGGAGGGGGATATATGAGGAGCATAAATAATATGAGAAGCTGTATGAGGAGCTGCTCAGAGAGGGGGTTCTTTTGTGACCAAAATCAAAGTCTTGAATAAATTCTTAATGAAATGTGGTGATCTTATTCCCACATAAACAAATTTGCAGATACTTTTTTAAAAATTAACATTTTACTATGCCCACACTTAAAGGGGAACTCCGTTTTTTTTTGTTTTTTTTTTACATTGGGCCCTTGATTTTACGTTATTACATCATGTTCTACTCACCCATATTAGTTTTGTGTCATTTGGAGCTGTTCCGGAAATATTCGGTTTTGTTATATCCAAGTAACGTCTTCCTATGGGCAACAAGTTGAAGGCACAAACTAAACTGTTCATAATTTATTCTTTATGTTACGGCATTCATAACATGTAGGCGAATCACTGTCCCCCAGACATCTGCGGTTATATTTTTTATATTTTTATTTTATTTATTTATTTATTTTTGTGTATGACGTCATCCGTGTGCCGGCTACCATTCATTCATCCTGTCCGCTGAACTGCTGCTAGTTTTACTCACATGCCTGGAAGATATCTAGTGCTACCACAGATTATCTCGCTCTCGAAATGGAATTGAACAATTCAGATTAGCTAACCTCTTCTTTCTGTAAATTTGTTTTGTCCACCAGGCCCTTACTCTGTCTATTCTCTCAGCTGGCCTGGGAGCGCCTAGGGCTTCCCCCAACAGAGCTGGAGGAGGTGTCAGCGGAGAGGGAAGTCTGGGAGAGTTCTTCTTAGTCTGCTGCCGGATAAAGCGGGAAACTACTACTCGTACGAGTACGAGTACGAGTAGTAGTCCCACAACTTATTATCTTCATATTATGGACCTGGTGCTGACATAGGGCATTGAATGTAAAGAAATAACAGTATTTCCTCACAACCCCATCCTCTCTGACCACTTTTTAAAAACCTTCAAAATTACTTTAACAGAAGGATTTAACAGATCTTTATCAGATAATGTTATACATTTTAAAGAATCTGTTCCACTTTCTATCTCCTCTATATATCACTAAACAAAACTGCAGAGGGAAACCATTTAATTTATTCCCCTTCACAATAGATGATTTTTTTTTTATAAGGTTACTAGTTCTCAGGTACTGCCACTAGACAAAGTAACCCCTTTGAAAAAGAAAAAAAAAATCATAGAAAGCTGGCTCCTTGGTTTAATGCAGAGTTGTACACTTTGAAGTAAATTGCTAGAAAACTGGAGAGAAAATGGCGCTCTAAATGCTTATTGGAATCCTACCTAGTCTGGAAAAATAGTTTACTGCTGTATAAGACAACCCTTTGTAAAGTGAGAGCAGCATATTTATTGATAAAAATAACCCTATATATCTTTTTAATACAGTTGCCAAACTCACCCAGAGCCATAGCTCTATTGAACCATCCATCCCACCTGCTCTTTGCAGTAATGATTTTATGGGATTATCTGTAAATAATATTGATTCTATTAAAAATAAGATCACCCCTCTAAATATCATTGGTTTTAGACTGTTTTGTTGAACTTTTTGACTTGGCAAACTAATGTCTTCATCTAATCATTCAACCTGTATGTTAGATCCAGTTCTAACTAGGATATTTAAGGAAGTATTCCCTCTGATTTCCTACTGCAATTTATATGTGGTTAATCTATCCCTGTTACAGGGATATGTACAAAAGGCTTTCAAGGTAGCTGTAATTAAACCTTTACTAAAGAAACTGTCTCTTAACAAAGATGACTTGGTCAATTAAAGACCTCTAATCTTCCTTTCTTAAGCTCTTTAAAGCATAGTCGCTAAGTGTGTGACCACTTAGACCATAATGAACTTTTTAAAGAGTTTCAATCTGGTTTTAGAGCTCATCATAGTACTGACGCAACTCTGGTTTGTGCCTGTCAAAAGGGAGTTTTCCACCAACTATGCAGGCACTGTCCCTGCCTGCATGGTTGGTATGAGGGATCTCTGTCGAGTCAATGAGTCGATGCAATCAGCTGGTTTTCCTGAGATAGAAAACTTTTAACCAATCTGACTGTATAATCTGGTTGAATTGTCTCTGTAAAGTGCCTTGAGATGAACTGTATTGTAGTTGCTGCTATATAAATAAACTGAATTGAATTGCATTGAAAAGAAAGGCCCAAATAATTATACCTGGCAATGCTTAGCCTCGATAACCAATGATGACTGTGACAGAGAAAAGATTTTCTCAGATGGGGATGAAGTGCATTCAAGCACAAAAAGCATGAGATGGGCTTTAAAGGCTGGAACCATCTCAAGTTGCTTTTAATTTCAGTTTATCTTAATTTATTCTACCTTTAAGATTAAAATAATATCTAAGATCAGTGTTGTAAAGTAAGCCACATGAAGTTTATGTTAAATTAGAAAAGCAATTGGAGAGGGCAGACCAAACAAATGCTCACACAAAAACAACTAAAACATTAACCTCCTCGGTGGGGGTAGATATGAAATTAGCATTGTGAAACACCTAGCTTAACAAGAAATCTATGCTAATATCTTTAGAAGCTTTATATATTTTACACAAGTACATTATCACACATCTAAAATAAATAAATAAATGAAATTAGGCCAAAAAAAAAAAGTATTTTTTACTGACTTTATTTGAAGCATAGAATATTTTTCATTATTATCATATATAACATGTGATTAAGAGATGCTTTTTTTTCCTAGAAATAAATAAGAATATAAGTATCATGCTTTTTTGGAACCAAAAATACAGTGATGACTGCTTTTCCTTTATCACCTAATTTTACATAAATTTAGTTAAAAAAACAACAACAAACAAGCAGTGTCCTTCAAAAAGCAAAAGCAAAAACTGATTTGCTAAGAATATATTATCTATATTGCTAGTGCTTTCCTCTTTGGTGATGCACAACCTTCTCTGTAACCATGCAATGTATTAGAATATGAAAAACTGTATAAGGTAATAATATATGCAGAGATCTACTATATATTTTAATAATCAATGTTTAAAGAGATAAAAAGAGAAACAATGGACAGAATATATACAAAGGTTACTACTATGCATGTGTTTAATTGTTAAATATTCTGAGATTTATAAACCAATTTTTATTGTTCTCTTTATTTCTTTTTATTGATTTATGTTAAAAAGGCTTTACCATAAAACATTTACTTTTAAATAAAAACATATGTTCAGGTATCGTTTTTTATTCTGTAAAGCAATGTCAGGTGCAGCAAACAATTTAATATGTTTTAGAAAATCTCTCACCAACTAAATGTTTTAGCAATTTTTTTTAAGGCTTTCTAAAAAAAAAAAAACAACAAAAAAAACTATTATTTTATTGTGCATGTGTTCAAATGATTTCCAAAAGACTACTCTTGAATTGCATCACTTGTACTATGTTCTCTAAAATAATCTTGAGCTACTCTCCGAAGCAGAACATATCTGGTTTAAACTACTGGTTGACTGTTTTAGTATAGTTCTGAATGAGACCCTGGAAGTGCTGTTGAGTGTTTTTCTGACTTTGAAAAATAATGATGTAACATTTTGGCAAAAAATACCATAATAGAAACGAATAAAGACTTGAAAGAACTGCCAGAGCTGTAAATGTGTGAATGTGCTTTCCATTGTAAAGTATGGTTGTAGTAATAAGGACAATCCAGGTAAGTATCAGCAAAAGCAGGCAGAAGGTTATGGCTTTGGCCTCATTATAATTCTTAGGGAGGTCTTTTCCCATGTAGGAGAAAATAAAACAAAGGGAGCAAAGTATGGCGAGTAAAGTCACAGAACCAGATATTGGCATAAGTGTGAGATCACAACCAAGTATAGTTAATTGTGTGTAGGAAAGTTTATCACTGTAAGGCTTTGGGGGAGCAACAGAATAACCAATAGTAAGTAAGACAGCCTGAGTGACAAATGCTACACTAATGACCAGCCACTGTCCATGATATTTCATCCACCAACTGAGTAGCTTTGGGAATTTGGCAGCAATTTTGAAAATGCAAATTATCTGAAAAGAGCGTACAACAAAACAAGCCAAACAAACAGTAAAAAACAACAAAAATGGTAAAAACCTTAAGACACATGAAGAAACTGTGGGTTTGTCAAAGTAAAAGAACACACTGAGACTACCCAGAGTGAGGCAGCCTAAAGTCAGGAAGCACATCGGTCCTCCAGCTGATTTGACAACTGGAGTGTTGTAGTTGACGGCAAAGAGAACACACATGGCTAGTGTGAGGCCTATTAAAGCACAGACTCCAAACATGATCACTATGGCGCCACTATCGGAGAATGGTATATATTCCACGAGGCGCAGATTGCACAGTGTACTTCCTGCTTCAGACCACTCTGTCTCCTTGCAGCTGATGCAGTTGTAGGGATCCTCTGTTTTGAATGATATAAAAAGATAAAGTCAACAAAGATGGGTTAACTTTAAACATGCATGTGCTATGCAAATAGAATGAATAATTAATAATAATTTTAATAATTCAAAAGAGAAATCAAATGATTTTGTAACTTTTATTAAGCAGGTTTTTTAAAGAGTTATTAATGGTAAATGATAATGGCTTATAGTAGATCTGAAGAAGCCTATGAATGAAAGCCATAAGGTTTTTGTATAAAAACAGGTGTCAAAGTATTCACAAGTACAGATACCTGTGTATAATATGACTGGTAATAGCAAAAGCACAAATTGAACTCCTTTACATAGGTAAAGTATAAAGCACAGGTTTCACATTTTCATTGGGTTCAAAAGTTTTAATGATAAAATAACCTTTTAGTAACAGCTTTTTTTTCTACAAAAAGCTCAATATTCCTCTTTTGCTCAGTGTGTTAGTAGAAAGAGCATAAAGAATACTGACACTAACTAGTTTGTTTCAAAATTAAATTTTCAAACAGGATACAGATTTGACTTATAAGAATAATACTTTTCTGAGCTCTGTAATTCATAACATTAAAGCTGAAGATATCATAGCAAAATAGCCTTAAATTTGAAATAGAACTTGAAACACAATCGATATATACATTTAAAATCTACTGAAGAGGGGATGGATGTGGAATGGTCTTGCGTCTCAGAATCGGATCAATCACGTTTTGTTGTTGCTGTTATATCATGTTGTATCTGTTGGATGGCACTAACAAGCCAGTTTTGCAAATGTCATGAGTAGAAAGTGCAGATATTTGTGTTAAAATGTGGTGATTTAAAATTAATCCTCTGAAATACTAATACGTTTCACACTGGAACACACTGCGATGCAACTCTAACCTGAGACTTGACTGTTTAACTACAAAATACCATCAATCTATCCATCTTCTACAGTTTGTCTGAAAGGGTAACGTGCATCACTATCTATCTATCGCTAGCAGTCTTGTGTACCCAGAGAGAACTCACACATAGATGGGGGAAGCATGTAAAATTTCAAGCAGAAAAACCCATAGGTAAGTATTCCAAATAAGGACATTTTTTACAGTAAAGCAACAGTGCAAACTGTGCCTCTGTACAGTCTTGAAAAATACTACCTATTCTTTCTATTTCTATGCTGTTACGGTTATGTGCTGTCATTTTTATGGTCTAAGTCTGTAAAGATTCCAGTTGGTTTTGTGTAATTGCTTACATTACTATTTAAAATATAAAAGTCAGGCGCTCTACAGATATAACACATCTTAGTGTTATACACCTATATAAATGAAATAGGAGAAAAGCAATGAAGCGAGATAGTTAGAGGGTGGTACTTGCTTCTAACAGAAATTTCCCCATTTGAACCTTTTACCTGTAGTGTTGATATAAGTCATATTTGGACAGATGGTGCATTTGAAACAACACTTATGGATTCCCTCTTGTGTTTTTGAATACCCTTCAGGACATTCTTTGGAGCAAAAGGACACTGGTTCCTGTGGAAGTAAAACATATTGACAGCGGGTTATTATCCCATTGGTTAGGTTTTAAATACAACCATTTTTACACTAAGTTATATATTTATAAAAAGATATTTATCTTGTTATCTCTTGATATTTCTCATGTGTATAGTTTGAATATATTTAAAATTGAAAACAAATTAAGTTTAGAACTAGTCTAATGGAATACTGTATTCTTTTTTATAGAAAATAAAAAGTGGATTAATCTGTCTAAAAATTAGATTTTTAGGAAGATATAAAATATTATATGCTTTTAAGCTATAATGAGACATATTGATTCAATGGACGGCTGTATCTTTTTTTACTTCTTTTCTTTATTGCCCACTTTGTTTTTAAGATCTATCTATATGGTTGGTTAATCAACATCATTCTCCTCTTTTTGATTCAAAATTGCATCTGTTGTTCATATCGCAAGGTGGAACACACATCTTAAGCAGTAAATGGATTCAATAACAATAATAAAAAAAGCAAAAGTTACCTCCCCGTCTGAATGCCACTGGATTTTAGTTCTGTCAATGAAGAACTGGTGAAACGGGTGAAATTTATAAAAGCCAACCTCCTCTGCATCACCACTGTTGTTCCAGAAAACAATCGAAGAAGAACCAGACATAGGGTCCCCGTTCTCATCAAACTGAACAGTTTGAGTTAAAAGTTTAAAGTTTGATTTCTTCAGCGCTGCTAGAACCTGCATTTGAAAAGCAAAGTTTAGATAATCTATAGGATACAGTTGCTGCTCTACTTTAGCATTAGAGGTGTGGAATGAAAAAGGAGGAATTCAAAGTTGGACACATGATTAGATCTAGGCTTTGCTCTCTAAATAAGGTATTCAAAAAGTTACTGCAAAACCTGACTTTATGATCACATGGTCTTTTATATAAAGTTTAAATTCTTATCATAATAAAAATTGTAAATAGTAGAAATTACTATGACTAACAACAACAAAATGCACATACATATTATATTCTCTTTCTAGTATAAATTTAGCTTGGTTTTCTCCATGAGACATTCATTTGTATGTGTTTTTTCTGTTGGTTGTTGCTCACATTACATTTTATTTAAGAGTGTCAAGTGAAGATAACTGACTACTAGAGAAGGCGACTCTTTTCAGATTCTAATCAAAGTATTTGAAAAAGAGGAATTTGAAATATATACGCTGCATTTTGTAATATACCATGACAAAATACCAACAATGAACACAGAGGTTATTTGTCAAGACCCAGTGATAAATTATCCTATTAATTCCTGTTGACTCCATCATACTGGGGGCTTCTAGACTTGCTCAGATACAAAATATTTATATTTCGAAGTAATATACAGACATGTAAACATACATGGTTTGTTCATTTCAAATGAGCTTTTAAAAAATAGAATACTTTATCAGATTGTTAATATTAATGAGCTTTGTATTCAGTGCTTTAAACTTACCATGTATGGTTGTAATGAAATAGTTTTATCACACCTCCCAGTCCCGCATTGCAAGACGTTGTGCAAAGCATGTGCGACAGCATAGACAGCAGAGTAAACAGGAAAACTGAAAGATGGGTCTGCATCAATGATATCTTCAGCTGTCACATTGGGGCACTTGCAAATCTGATTACAAAATGTTCCCTCATCTTCATTAACATGCTGAGACTGGGCTTTAGAGGAAGATATGAAATCATTGAAACCTGGAATGTCCATTTTGGGCTCAGCAACCCCCAGTACAGTTCCAACATTTCTGATACCATTTTCCTTGGGGAGCTGCTTGTGTAAGGACCAGGCATCCCCTGCTATCCACACTTTGTTTGTCACATTTTGTTTTATGGCTGCTTTAATCAGAGCCTCAGCAGTCCACTCAGGAGCAAAAACAATGATGACATTCACTCTTTGAGCCTCTAGCTGTTTGAACAGCAGAGGATGATCTGTATTTTCATTAAGGCCTTTATGGTATGCCAAGCAGATCTCGGTGTCCTTTATCTTCTTTATAAATAAGTCCAAGCCATCTTTACCATAATCACCATCGCTATAGAGGAATGAAACCCAACGCCAGTTGAAGTTCTTCAATATTCTATAAACTACTTCAATTACATCTTTATTGGGATGAACTGTTCGTAAGAAAGATGGATATCTTTCCTTTCTTGATAAGGCAGAACTAGCAGCTCCATAACTGACCTGTTGTTAAAAATAGGAACACACAGTTTAGAGATAATTTCTTCTGAAAAGTACGTTGAATCATAGTTTGTTTGTTTTTTTGTCATTCCCAAGTGTGGAGATTTACCAAAGGAATCAGATGTGTCATGAACATCGGGGCCATAGTCAGAGTCTCTGTGCTTGTATAAGTGCCAACCACTGAGATAAGTTTTGAACTATTCTTGCTCAGCTCATCCAAAGGGTACATGGAACTATTGCCTGAGATAAGTTTGAGAATGCCAGGAAAGTTCTGAATGTCAGAGCAGTGATCGAATATTTCATAGCCAAGAGTTACATTTGGCAGCAGTTTGGTGGACTTATTGATTTCATCAACAGAAAATTTCATCACCTGAAACCTCCGATAACTTGACAGAATAAAACGTTCCCTATCAACACAAAAAGAATAATTAGAGTAAATTTCAAGTTAAGAACCTTAGAATGTTGTCCTCACCAGGTTTTAATAAATAAAGAGAGCTGATCACAACCAAAATGACAACAAAGATTACAAAACCTACCTTGAGCAGGTGATAGCTTCTGGTTTGTAATGACGATATGGTGTACTGACATGATGAATATCAAAAAGCCCCCCAATCAAGTAATCCCCATCCAACTTAAACTCTGAGGCAAAGATACCCATAACTAGGGAAGGCAGAAGAGAGCCCTGCAGATACAGATAAGCAACAAACAGTTTACCTCTCATAATTACGTCTTAGCTTTAACATAAGCTAATTTTCCAAGAGTCACTGCAAGTGAGTGAGCAAAAACGATCATGCCCATGAACAGGTGTTAAATAAAGTGTCATAAATGCATGGCTGAGGGTCAAAGGAGAATTTACATATCAGCATGCAAACAATCTCTAATCTAAGTCTGCCATGCTCCAGTGATGTAAACAACCAACATGAGACACCAAGCCCACTTCTTTGATTATGAAACACCAAGCCCACTTCTCCCACTTCTTTGATCATGAATAAAACTAAAATCCAGGTTTCATTGTGATGAAAAATTTTTCCTTTGAATGTATTATTGCATATTAAGAGGAATGTTTTATTTGTCTAGGATGTGAATGTAGAATTAAAATAATTGATCAATTTATTATTCCATCTTCTTTTAAGATATGGGAGTAAATTAGGTCATATAAAAGCAGAAAAAGGATGTGGGAATTTTATTTATTGTGTGTTGATACTTGTCTTATATTTATACATTCATATCAGGCCTCCTGGCATCCATAGCAGTGCTGCTACTGGCTGTGTGCCCATTGTTTCAGACAGTCTCAGTAGATAGATATCAGCCATGTCATTCTGCGATTCTTGACTGCAAAGCTGTAAAAGTTTGTCAAACGTTCCTAATTACTTAAAGCAGAGTAAATGGTCTTCTTGTAGTTTTATCTAATCACTAAAATACTCCATTTCCTTAAGAACATGACTTTTAGTTTGGAGATGGATCTTGTGTTCACTCCAAATTTTATTGAAGCCTAATATTGTGGATCAGGAGCTTAAACTTGGCATTTTTCTTCATCCAAATCAGTCAATCATAGATTGCTTTGAGCAGAAACTAATTGTTCCATTTGAACTCAGGCAGCATATGGAATACCGGAAGGTTAAAAAACAAGCTGTGTCAGTTTGAGCTGAGGTTTTTAGAGGACCCAAATGCAGAGACAGAAGCTGAGGTGGTTTTTTAATGATTTAATGTAGGATTTAAGGCGACAGAAGCAAAATCCAAACACAAAATGCAGAAAACCTTAAAAAAAAACAAAAAAAAAAACAAAAACAAGAGACACTGGGGAAGACACACATGAGGAGAACAGAAATGATGAGGAACCAGTAAACAGTAACTGAAGATGAGGAGTATAAATGGGAGACTGAACAAAGACAGGCTAATCAGGAGATTGGGTGTGAACGGAAGAATCTAGAAGAGAGGTAGAGGAAAAGAGAATGACAAAAGTGGGCAACGGAGAGTAAACAAGAAATACATAATAACTCAAATACAACTAAAAACAGCAAGAACACAAAATGGAAATAAAACCAATGAAAACTCAAAAAATAACCATGACAAATGGCAGAAGATTAGATAAATCTTTATTGTCTGATCTAGAACAGAAAACAAATCATTCTTTGAAACATCTCCATCTTCCTAATAACATAGGAATACTCAATCATTCAAAAACCCATGATATATGTTTGTGATTATAAATCAACCTCATCCTGTCGAAGTGCAAATTAATATCAGCTGGGTTTATATTCACTATTGACCTATAAAATGGTTTCTGTTTACTAGGTATGACAAAGCAAGGATTTTATTATGGGTCATAGTAAACACAATGCATAAGCAGCCATTATTTACAGACATTTTTACAGATGTGTTTAAATTGTACTGAATAATCCAGTAAACACGGGTATTTAATCCTGAAGTGCACAGAACCTAATTTTATCCTAAACCAGCCTCCATGTTAATGTCAATGGTGGATATAAAAGGAAAATAATACAGAGTTGTTTAAATTCAATGATCACTAGCAGAGGCCTTCTCAAAAGGCGGAATAGGCATGTAGGGCAATTTTAAAGAGGACAATAAGTCATGCCCCACTGGCATCACAGAATGTTGTTAGACTTGCAAAATAAAAAGTATGTTGAGCCTCCAGCTCATTCAGAGAAGCCAATGAAATACTGGAAGGACACTCTGCCCAGTAGACATTAGGCAAATGTACAGTTCTTAGGTTGCTACTAACATGATGTTCATTAAGAGAATAAACAAAGAAAAGATGTATTTAAATTTTTTATTTAGAGAAAATGTTGTTATGGACAGGTTGGGCTTGAAGATTTTTCTTAGACTGTACGGGTTTTATTTACGTCCTCTGTGTCCGTGCTCAGGGCTGAAATCATGGTGGGTTACTTGACTAACACTTAAATAGACATTAGCAAAGAGTAAGGTTGGTTGTGTGTCTTTTTGTTAGCCCAGTGATTTACTTGATGCAAGTCCATGATTTAGCCTCTCCAGTCCACTCTACGACTAAACTGAACAAAGTAGACAAAGAAAATGCATAGACTGACATGAGTGATGGATGATTTTACTGCAGGGATGACGTGATGTTTCTGCTCCATGAGGTTACAGGCAAATTCACACAAATTCATCGATTCATTCAGCCAGATAATTTTGGTGTATGCTTAAAAGCCACATCCTCTTTCAGTGGGCAAATAACAATGAGCTCAGAGCAATATGAAAATAAAATGATATTCCAAAGCTCCAGCCGGTCAGTATTCAGCACCTCAGAGTTACCATGGGCCTTTTCTGTTTAATGCATCGTTTACCTGACCTGCCGGTTTGGGATAGCAACCATGACTTGCAGGTGTGTGGCTGTTAAAGCTAGCAAAACTTTATAATATAACCACCTATCCATTTTAATATCAGGAAGAAGACATAGACTTCCATACAAAGGAAGAAGACATAGACTTTTTTGATTAAAAGCCTTAATTTAATCTAAAGCCTTCAAATAATATAATACTAAAAAATTTAGCAACATTGTGACAAAAATTAATTTCAGCATGGTTTAGATATCAAAGCCTATTTGTTGGAGTTGAAGATTGCAAGAAAGGGCTGGTTATTGTCTATTAGATTAGGAACCAAAAAAAAAAGAACTGTGCCATATAAAGTGAGATGTAAGATGCTCTAAAATACCTAATTAATGCAGTTCTATTGTATATAAGTAACCTTATTTAGAGTGAATTACTGACTGATTGCTTTGGTATAGTTTTGAATAAGACCTTGGAAGTGCTGTTGTGTGTTTTTGTTGGGATAAAAAATAATGATATAACATTTCGGAACAAAATACCACAACAGAAAAGAGTAAAGACTGGAGAGTACTGCCAAAGCATTAAATGTAGATATATGCTTTCCATGGTAAAGTATGCTTGCAGTGGCAAAAATTATCCAGGTGAGGATCAGCAGCAGTAGGCAGAAGGTTATTGCTTTGGCTTCATTGTAATTCTTAGGGAGATCTTTTCCCATGTAGGAGAAAATAAAGCAAAGGCAGCATAATAATGATATAAAAATTACAGGGCCACACATTACTTTTAGTTTATAGTCACAACCTAGTATCAATTTGTCCAAATACAACAGCCTATCACTGTAAGGCTTTGGGGTGGAAACAGAGTAGACAATAATAAGTAAGACAGTCTGAATGACAAATGCCAAGCTGATGACCAACCACTGTCCATTATATGTTCTCCACCAACTGAGAAGTTTGGGGAATTTGGCAGCTATTTTGAAAATACAAACAATTTGAAATGAGCGGACAACAAAACATGCAAGACAAACAGTGTAGAACAACAGAAATGGGAAAAACCTTAAGACACATGAAGCAACTGTCGGTTTGCCAAAATAAAAGAACACACTGAGACTACTCAGAGTGAGGCAGCCTAAAATCAGGAAGCACATTGGTCCTCCAGCAGATCTGACAACAGGAGTGGCAAAGTTAATGGAAAAAAGAGCTGATATCGCTACTGTTAGAGCCACTAAAATGCAGGCTCCAAACATGATGACTATGCTGCCACTGTCGAAGAATGTTACGTATTCCACCTGGCGCAGATTGCATGTTGTACTTCCAGGGTAAGACCACTCTGTCTCCTTACAGCTGATGCAATTGTAGGGATCCTCTGTTTTATACAGCAAAGAGAAGGATATTTACCTCTGTTAAAGGTTAGTACTAAGGTTTGATCAAATCCTACAAAATAATCCTATTATAATGTAAATCAAAACCTCACTTTTGCACAAGTTCCTCTTCCAATGTACAGTAAAATTACTTACCTGTAGTGTTGATATAAGTTCCAGTTGGACAGATTGTACAAATGAAGCAGCATTTGTAGATACCTTCTTGCTTTTTGGAAAATCCTACCGGACAAGCTTTGGAACAAAATGAGGTAGGGACCTGTCAAATACATATAAATTTAAAACAAATGTTTACATATTATTTAGATAAAGACACACAACGTATGTCTTTCTCACTGTCTGTCATTATGTAAGTCTGAACTTTTAATGAATTAAGTCTGTAAGGAATAGCAAATTGTTCTACCTCTAAACCCCAGATCAACAAGAATTATTTCATGTAGTCATTTAGTCAGTTACTTAGTTAGTTTTTTAGCCCAGATGCTATTGTCAGGCTTTTTAAACTTCTAATAGATTAATTATAGACAGTTGAATTAAATAGAGGAACTCCTCTGGATGTATTTCAAAGTTGCAACTCAAACATGTTGCTTTCTGATGTGAAAAGAACTTTGGAGCTCTACATTGTTTTTTTTTATTCATGTCTTATACAGTAAGTCATGCCATATTTAGTTAATTTCTCTGTGCTCGTTATTGCTTTTTAAGTGGTTTCATATTAGTTCATTCCTTGTGTTTAGTTCTTTAGTTTATTATTTTAGTTCTATTCTGGTTGAAAAACAATGCTCCTCTTTTATTTAGTGGATATAAATGGTTTTGGTAATACCAACTGGCCTCAAACTGAAGAATCTCTTCCAATTTATATTTATATTTATTTCAAAGATTATTTGAGTTTTTTATGAGATGTGAAACATATTATTTGATCTATATACCAGCTTCTTACTGATGGAAACGGTTTTGGGGGACTAAAAACAGTACACCTGTACAAATACAGAATTTTGTAAAAAAAAAAAAAAAAAAAAAAATGAAACAAATGTGCTAATTAGAGTTTATCCTATTATTCTTATTATGCTGATGATA